AGGGATGTGAAGGGTAAACAAAGGAGGAGGCTGCAATGCTTGGTAAGAAATGTACGCATTATCCTGCCCATGTAATTGTAACTCCTCTGTACAGTATGTTCACAAATAAAATTAAATTAAATTAAAAAAATGCTTCCTTCCAACTCACTGAATGGATTTTATCTATTCTGGCCTTTCACTGAGAGTTTCGGATTTCATAAGTTTTTAATTCGTGTATATGTGAAGCCAGTAAGTGGAACTGAGTCATTCTTAGTTACTGAGTCTGTTTGTTCAGGCTCTGCCTCCCATCACCATGTGAGGATTTAAAAACTAATTTTTAAAATTGCTGAATAATGGCCGGGTGTCAGCTCACGCTTGTAATTCTAGCTACTCAGGAGGCTGAGATCTGAGGATCACGGTTCAAAGCCAACCTGGGAAGGAAAGTCCATGAGACTTTTACCTACAATACACCACGAGAAAACCGGAAGTGCCACTGTGGCTCAAGTAGTAGAGCGCTGGCCTTGAGCTGAAGAGCGCAGGGACAGTGCCCAAGCCCAAAGTTCAAGCCCCATGACCAACAAAAAAAATATATATTTATATATACTGAAAAAGGAAGTGACTCAAGTGATAGAATGCTCACCTTGAGCGAAAAAGCTTAGGGACAGCGCCCAAGCTCTGAGTTCAAGCCCTATGACCACCAAAGAAATTAAAACAAAATAAAGAATAAAATAAATTACTGAATAAAATTTGATATATGTTAATATTTTGAAATATGTATATATTGGAATGACTAAATTGAACAAATGAACATGTATTATTTTCACCTGAAATTTTTATGGTTAAACACTCAAAAAGGCACATTCTTTATGCATTTCAGAAATACATTACATTATTAGTAGCTGTAGCCACCATGTTATTCAATAGCTCTTCACTGGTTAATTCTAGTAACTGAAATTTTGTATACTTAAACCAACATCATCTAGCCTCTACTTCTCTTGCTCCCTAATCACTATCAGTCTTGTTTTGCTTCTGCCAGTTCCTGTTTGTGTCTCTTTAGACTAGATTCCATACATAAATGATATCAGACATAAATGAAGACATATGGTATATGTCTTTTCCTGCTTTACTTCATTTAATATATTGTTCTATAGGTTTATCCATATGGTTATAAATGACACTAAACTAAAATAAACTATATGTGTGTGCATTTATTTTTGGCAGTACTAGGGTTTGAAATCAGACCTTTGCACTTGCTTGGCAGGTATTCACTACTTGGTCTATTTACATTTTTGGACCAAGTCTTGCATTTTTGTCCTGGGACAGCCTTGACCATGATCCTCCTATTTATACCTTTGTAGATGGCATCATAGCCTTGGCCCACCATGCCCAATTGTTTTGCTGAGATGCTTGGGCTGGCCTTTAACCAGAATTCTCCCTCCCAAGTAACTGAGATTACAAAACAGTCATTCTATCCAGATAAAAATATTTTTAAAGCAGATATGACACTAACCTTTTGATGTTTATGGATTGACAGGAATTAAGTTATTAAATGAATGGATTATATTATATAACAATATAATTATAGATTGTGTTTAGAGCTATGAAGTACTCAGAAACAAAAAGCCAGAAGTATATCTGTGGCTCAAATAGTACAGTGCTAGCCTTTAGTAAAAAAGCTTAGGGAGGGCTGGGAAGGTGGCTCAGTGGTAGAGTGCTTGCCTTGCATACCTGAGGCCCTGGGTTCGATTCCTCAGCACCACATAAGCAAAAAGAAAAAAGCCGGAGGTGGTGCTGTGGCTCTAGTGGAAGAGCGCTA